TTTTTATGGAGTAACGCAATATTGTAATGCATTACTTTTAAAAGTAACTTTCCCCAACACTGCAACTAACCCCGCATTAGTTTGTGCCCCGCTGCCCAGAAGATCACGTGGTTTGTCTTGCTGATGTGAGTTTGTGTTCAGATCTTGAGGACTAGAGGGCAGCACTGACATGGTTTGTGTTTCTGTATGTCTATTTCAAATATGCAATTTTGTATTATGTTTTTATTTTTTTTTTAAAGTTCTGTTTTAAATGAGTTTTATTTTGCTGTTTTTATTTTTAAGTTAATGTATTTTACATTTTCAATTTAGTTTTTATTATGAATTTTTATTTGTTTTTACATGTCAAATATTGCAACTTCACATTTTTAGAATTTTGTAGTATTTTATTTTATAGTGCATTTTAAAATAATTTACTTTTAAGTTTACATTTATGATTTCAGACGGTTGAGGGCATCTGAAGTACTCAAAATAATCATGTTGAAGCCCAGCAGAGAAACTTCACTTAATTATTATTTCAAACCTCACAAACATCTCTTTTGTTTTGCTGGGGGTCTCTACGGGGGATTTTCTGTCAATTCTGTAAATCAGTATGTGTTGTGAAAAAGCTCTTCGCATAAAATAAAACCGAATGAAAATCACATGTTCTTGTTTGACTTGTTTTCTGGATCACAGACGGCTCTGATCTCCAACATGTGAGTTAGTTGTGAACGTTTCATCTGGGTTTGTGTTGTGTAACTCATATGACAGACATAAATAATGAAAATCAGAACCAGATTTTATTGCATGTGTACTGTGTGTTTAATTCTGTCTCATTTCAGTTCATCTGGGTCTTCAGATACACAGAAACAAGACGGTAAGTCACAGATCCACACTAGGGCTAAAGAATAGAATTAGAATAGAGAGTGCTAGAGTTAGAGGGTCAAATAAAGATGGAAGAGATGTGTTTCTAGCCTGTGTTTCTCAGCTGCTCGGATTGAGTTGGGCAGGTCATTATATTTCAAGTAAGTTTAATTCATTTTTTTATTTTTCTGACCATAATAACCTTAGCACAAATACAGTGAAAAAATTATTTGTGTGGTACAGTTACATATTTCTTTAGATCTAAGCATGGTGCATGTTCTAACATGTTTCTCTCTCTCTCTCTGTTTCTAGACATTCCATAAGTGCAGTTCTGGTTTCCATGGCAGCAGACAGTCAAAATAGAGGAGATTTAGGATAGAGACCGAGAAACGCTTCAGTCACACAGTAAATGAACATAAAGCTTTGTGTCATTACAGGTACATCTACTACAGCACACATTCACACGAACATGTGATTAGACATTTTAACAGTGTCTGTGAGGGGAAAAACTCACACACTCAAATATTAAGAAAGAATTGAGTTTTAAACCAGGGGTATGATCTGAAATGATCCCGTGATTCAAAGACAGATATATGAGAGTCTCATTGTGATTCATTTCTAGAAAGGAAAGCGAGAGGTTATAAGGTTTTCTCTACATTTATCCTTCATGTCTCATTAAATGATCCAATCCTTTAATAGCAAGTCAAACGACTGATGTAAAACACCATCAGATTGGTTGTTCAATTATTTGAAATAAGCGTTATGAATATTTGCATTGTTCGTTATGATGTAAACCGATTCTGTAGTGGACTGATTCACTTCAGAGAACTTATGAATCATTTGTGCACACTGATTGATTCAGTCATTCAATATGACTCACATTCTGGGCCACATATTTAAATACATATTTTATATTTTGACATGAAATGTGAAACACATTGCGATGCGTGTGGTCTTGATCAGAGGTGTGAATGAGAGCCGTATGTGAACTAATGTGTGACAAATCGTCTGCAGTGGTTTTGAACACTATTTTGAGCGTCCAGTGATTCAGTGATTCGTGATTGTTGTGGACAGCAGACAGTCTGAACTGAACATCCACCACAACAACACACAGCGCTGCTTTATTTAGGCCCGGAGGATTGTGCTGATCTGACGGATCACTAACCGTCCCGTCATCAGGATTCTGATTGCTATGTGGTTATTACATAAAGACATAAACAATGCAAAGTCTGATTACATTAATGCATCTGGAAGATGCTTTTATCCAAAACCACTTCCATTGCATTGCATTTGATCAGTTCATGCATCCACTGGGAGCATGGTATTATTTCAGTATTATTTATGTACTATTATAGTTTTTATTAATTCAAATCAAAATTATTTATAACATTTTAATAGCAGGTTTATGTGCCATGAAACATGTTTTCAGCATCATGATCTCGGTTTTCATCATCTGTCATGCTGTATTTCTGCTCTTTTTCCCAAGTTTCTTTGACGTTCTTCATTGGGAATTGGATGGGTATCATTAAGATATTATTTATTTCACCCCAAAATCAAAAGAATTAAGAAAATGTGTTTTTTTTATGAAAGCCCATTTCTGCCACATAAGAAGAGAAAAAAAATCATGACAAATGATGCAATGTTTATGAAATTAAAAGTCAAAATTGACTAAAAGTCAAAATGATGGCACACTAAGTCATATTTATGAGATTAAAAGTAATAATTGTGAAAAGTATTATTTGTAAGATTAAGTCAAAATTATGACCAACAAAAAAAAAAAATCTAAATTATGACAATGAGTTGTATTTTAATTGTCAAAATTATGTCAGAATTATTCAAATGAAGTTGAAATTGAAAGTCAAAATTATGACACTCCAATTCATAATTATGAGATAAAAACTAATCTAATAAAAAAATTAAAAATCTGACTTAGAGTCATAATTATGACAAAGTCGAAATTAACATACTGTCTTTATGAAATATTAAGTCTTAATTATGATTAGTTAGGATGAAAAAGTTTCAATTATTACAATTAAATTTTTCATTTTTAATGTCATAATTCTGACGTTTAAGTCATAAATTTGAATGTTTTGTCATAATTTTGACTCAAGTCATCATTGAATTTTTAAGTCATAATTTTGACGTTTAATTTATAAATATGACTTAGTATGTCATATTTTTTACTTTTTAATCTTTTTAATATTTAGTGAGTCAGTAGCTTTCAGGCTACATAGAAGAAAAACTTAATCATTGCATTAAAAAAATTGCATGTTTTGATATATTTTTTAATTATTTACTTTTGAGAATACGATGCCCAAATGCTTTTAATGTAGGATATCCGCTAGGTTTTATGACTATGACACCTAGAAATGTTGTCTGTGTAGGAAACTCACAAGGTTTTCAAAACATCATGCATAAAAATGTTATGTAGGCAACTTAATAGGTTTTTAAAACTATGATGCCTGGAAGTGCAGTCTATGAAGGGAACTCACTAGTTTTTAAAACTATATGATGCTCACAAATGGGTTTTGAGACTGTGGTGCCTAAAATACTGTCTATGTAGGCAACTCAATAGGCTTTTAAACTATTTCCAGAAATGCTGAAACTCACTGTTTTGAGATTTTGATGCCTGTAAATGCTGTCTACGTAGGAAACTCCTTAGGTTTTAAGGCTATGATGCCTAAAATTGCTATGTAGGAAACTCACTGGGGTTTGAGAGTATGATGTGCAGTGATGCTGTCTATGTAGGAAACTCACTGGGGTCTGAGAGTATGATGTGCAGCGATGCTGTCTATGTAGGAAACTCACTGGGGTCTGAGAGTATGATGTGCAGCGATGCTGTCTATGTAGGAAACTCACTGGGGTCTGAGAGTATGATGTGCAGCGATGCTGTCTATGTAGGAAACTCACTGGGGTCTGAGAGTATGATGTGCAGCGATGCTGTCTATGTAGGAAACTCACTGGGGTCTGAGAGTATGATGTGCAGCGATGCTGTCTATGTAGGAAACTCACTGGGGTCTGAGAGTATGATGTGCAGCGATGCTGTCTATGTAGGAAACTCACTGGGGTCTGAGAGTATGATGTGCAGCGATGCTGTCTATGTAGGAAACTCACTGGGGTCTGAGAGTATGATGTGCAGCGATGCTGTCTATGTAGGAAACTCACTGGGGTCTGAGAGTATGATGTGCAGCGATGCTGTCTATGTAGGAAACTCACTGGGGTCTGAGAGTATGATGTGCAGCGATGCTGTCTATGTAGGAAACTCACTGGGGTCTGAGAGTATGATGTGCAGCGATGCTGTCTATGTAGGAAACTCACTGGGGTCTGAGAGTATGATGTGCAGCGATGCTGTCTATGTAGGAAACTCACTGGGGTCTGAGAGTATGATGTGCAGCGATGCTGTCTATGTAGGAAACTCACTGGGGTCTGAGAGTATGATGTGCAGCGATGCTGTCTATGTAGGAAACTCACTGGGGTCTGAGAGTATGATGTGCAGCGATGCTGTCTATGTAGGAAACTCACTGGGGTCTGAGAGTATGATGTGCAGCGATGCTGTCTATGTAGGAAACTCACTGGGGTCTGAGAGTATGATGTGCAGCGATGCTGTCTATGTAGGAAACTCACTGGGGTCTGAGAGTATGATGTGCAGCGATGCTGTCTATGTAGGAAACTCACTGGGGTCTGAGAGTATGATGTGCAGCGATGCTGTCTATGTAGGAAACTCACTGGGGTCTGAGAGTATGATGTGCAGCGATGCTGTCTATGTAGGAAACTCACTGGGGTCTGAGAGTATGATGTGCAGCGATGCTGTCTATGTAGGAAACTCACTGGGGTCTGAGAGTATGATGTGCAGCGATGCTGTCTATGTAGGAAACTCACTGGGGTCTGAGAGTATGATGTGCAGCGATGCTGTCTATGTAGGAAACTCACTGGGGTCTGAGAGTATGATGTGCAGCGATGCTGTCTATGTAGGAAACTCACTGGGGTCTGAGAGTATGATGTGCAGTGATGCTGTCTATGTGGTGCTCACCAGCTTCAGAGCTGCGCTAAGGTGTTGTCTAGTGAGTGAGTGAGTGCAGTGCGCATTGACACAGACGCAGCAGTAGCGGTTTTGAGAAAGTAAAGCAGGAAAAGAGGCTCTTCCTCCTCCCTCAGAGCGCGTTCTTCATGAACATTTCCTGCCTCCTCTGACTCACGTCCATCTCGCGTTTCCTCTCAGATGAAGGAGGAGAATGAGGCTCGAGCCGATTTAAGAGCACCGACCCGGGGTCAGACGCGATGGAGCGTGTAGTGGAGCGGTTCGGTTCTGTCGGTTTTGGATCGGTTCTTCTCGTGTGTCTGGTGTCTGGTGAGTTTCCGCTTCAGTTACTACGGCGCGACGCGACGCGAGCGTTTCACTGGAGCGAGCGAGTCGCGTCGCGTCACACTCAGTGTTTATGGGGTGTAAATAGATTAATTATTAGTTCCTCTCTCAGTGTCTGAAACTGTCAGACAACACGAGCCTGACACACGTTGCGCGCGCGTGTGTGTGTGTGTTTGAAACCCTCCAATTCTGTTCCTGGTAATTTGTTCGTTCTGTTTTTATTTACTAAGTGTACTGTGACATTTCGTGATACTAAAGTCGTGTAAAACATGCTTTTAAAAGTATCGTGTTTTGAGTTGTTACAAAAGCTGTGTTGCATTACTATGGTGGGATCTCGTTCAAATATTTACCACAGTTTAACGAGTGTGGTGGTGCCATGATAAAGTATTAAATATTATAGTTAACTATAAGTAAAACCATTAAAAAAAAATCGTTAATTTAAATGAACGTTAACTGAAATAAATATAGCCTATAATATTAAATAAAAGTTTTTTTTTTTGCTTTAATTTAGTTTAACATGATGTAGCCTACTAAAATAACTAAAAATGAAATATAAAATTAATAGACATATAATTAATAGGCAGGCTATAGACATATTACACAATAATAATAATAATACAATGACAAAAACAAACAAAGAAATTCAAAAAAATCTGAAAATATTAAAATAAAAACATTTAAAATTATTATTAATTAATACAAGCTGTAAATGTGTCTGCAGAATGACTACCATATTTATCATGATGTCAGATAGATAGATAGATAGACTGACAGACGGATAGACAGACAGACAGACAGGGATGGATGGACGGACGGACGGACGGATGGTAGATAGATAGATAGAGAAAGATAGAAAGATAGATAGATAGATAGATAGATAGACAGACAGACAGACAGACAGACAGACAGACAGATAGATAGACAGACAGACAGACAGACAGAGATAGATAGATAGATGATGGATGATAGATAGATAGATAGATAGATAGATAGACAGACAGACAGACAGACAGACAGACAGATAGATAGACAGACAGACAGACAGACAGATAGATAGATAGATAGAAATAGATGCAGTGGGTTTATGTGTTGTGTTGTTAAATAATTAATTAAATGGATCATAATACAAGTTGCATTAAATTGATAGATACCTTTTAGATTTGTATGTATTTAGATTAAATAAAAATGAATTCTTCTTAAATGAAGTTGCAGGTGTTTTGTCTTGTATCTTCATCACTGTCCATCACTGAAGTAAAACACAGCATTCGTCCACACAGATGTTTCTGCGGTTTAGCGTGAAACCTGGTTTAGCGTAAACCTGCGGTTGCATTTAAGAGATCCTGAAGATCCAGATATAATCCTTTTACCGCGGCTAACAGTGATGCAGCATGTGTTTGTGTTTATTTTCCTGGCAGACGCAGATACTGAAGCAACGTCCAGCTGAATGTTGAGACGATTACGTCATCAGATCCTGAGATGCTTGTTGCTGTAGAAAACGTTTTTTTAATTAACACATGTGTCTGTGAATCAGCCGGTGTTTTGGTGATTTTCAGTGGATTTATGAAGTCAGTTTTTGACCAATCACATTAAATATAAACATCATCCACTAACTAACCACAAACAAAAACATTACCTTTGGTTGATCCAAGGTTAGTTAATTAAAACAAACAAAAAAAAAGTTAACTGAAATAAAATAAAATATAAAAAAATTCTGCTATTTTATTTCTAATTTTTATATAGTTTAACTTGATCTGCTAAAATAACTATTAAAAACTGTAAAGACATATTTACAAAACATGAAATTACTAAAGCTTTAACTGCAATTAAAATAAAAACAAAATTATAAAAATAAACATGAATTCAAAATATTAATGAAAGCTATAATAGTATCTCAATCCGGTTCTGATCTCGCCTCTGTTTGTGTCTCAGGTGCATCAGCTCTGCTCCACACAGCCAATCCACACAGTGTGTGTAAGTCATGTGACCCTCAGCCGGCGAACTGCAAGTCGAATCAGTGCATCGCCAACTGCAGCGTATCAAAGGTCTGCCCGAGTCCAGATGACGTCTGCGCCGCCGTCTGGTATGATGCACTCTTGAACATGAATCATGCAGCTGCAATGGGGTTTGTTCCAACACGCTCACTGACGTGATGCAGCATTCTTCACTTAAAGCAGTAGTTCACCTAAAAATGCTGAAAATTCACTTGCCCTCAGGCCATCTGAGATTAGTTTATTTCTTCGTCAGATTTGGAGAAATGCAGCATTGCATCAGTGTCTCAGCAATGGATGCTCTGCAGTGAATGGGTGCCGTCAGAATGAGAGTCCAAACAGCTGATAAAAACATCACAATAATCCACAAGTAATCCACACCACTCCAGTCCATCAGTTCACGAGTTCACACTTACTTATAATGAACCGAGTAAAGTTTATGCGTATTTGGCGTGCTGTCCGGGGAGAGGGCTCCGAGCTCAGTAATTACTCTCGAGCCCGGGGTCCTCCCCCTGGCCGGGGAGAGGGGTCCGAGCTCGGGATTAAGCCCGGACCCAGAATGCTCCCCCCGAGTGTTCCTTCCCGTGCTGGGGTAGGAACGGGCTGAAGGTGAGGAGTCGGGGTGGTGGAGGGATGCTAAGGACGGGAGATAATGGAGGTAAGGCTGCTTTGTTTATTTATAGAGGTTCTCTCTTGAGCTGATTGGATAGATGGTGTAATTACTGATGATGAACTGGCCGTGTTAATTATCTGTGCGCGCTCCTCCCGAAACTTGTTAATAAAACATCACTTAATGTCTTGAGAAGACAAAAGCTGCGTTATTGTAAGAAACAAATCCATTAAGACATTTTGGTTACACTTTACTTGAAGGGGTGTGCATAAGACACATGACACATGTCATGAATATGCAGGTTTTTTATGCATGTTTATGACAACTGTCATTAAGTGTCATTCGCTCAGTTATGTAATTTTTAATGCAAAGATGACATTGTTTGAGATGTCTTTGTTATGGGCTATGGTTAGGGGTTAGGGTAGGGTTAGGTCAAATAATGTCATATTTGCATTAAAAATGACATAACTGAGCGAATGACACTTAATGACAGTTGTCATAAACATGCATAAAACCTCCTTCATATTCATGACATGTGTCATGTGTCTTATGCACACCCCTTCAAGTAAAGTGTTACCGACGTTTTTAACTTTAAACTGTTGCTTCTCAGTTCAGTTCAGTTTTATTTATATAGCACATTTAAAAACAACTATGGTTGACCAAAGTGCTTAACAATGTCCAAAAAAAACCCCCACGTTTCTGGCTAAAATACGTCCATAATCCATAATAACGCTTCCTCCAGTGTAAAAGTGGTCTGGATTGAATCAGGAGAGAAACACCGTTTACAAGCCAAAACAGTCAAAAACAGCTTTGAACAAATATATGTGTGGATTTTGAAGTGAGAGACAACAGGAGATGGACTTATTCGCTGGAGGAAATGTTATTATGGCTTATTTTAGCCTGAAGCAAAGGTTTGAAGTTAAAAAGGCCTTAACAATGGATCTGTTTCCTACAAACACGCAGCATTTAGCTTCTCCAGATGTTAGCTGATGGACTGGAGTGGTGAGGATTATTGTGATGCTTTTATCAGCTGTTTGGACTCTCATTCTGACGGCACCCATTCACTGCAGAGCATCCACTGGTGAGCAAGTGATGTAATGTTACATTTCTCCAAATCTGATGAAGAAACAAACTCATCTACATCTCAGATGGCCTGAGGGTGAGTACATTTTCAGCTAATTTTCATTTTTGGCTGAACTATTCTTTTAAGAAATGACAATAAAGTGTGCGTCTTGAAGCAAAGAAGCCTTTTTCAAAATAGAACCAAAAAGTTTTCGACCTGAATCATTCTTAAAGGGATAGTGCACCTAAAAATGAATAATTTACTCTCCCTTATTTGCATTTTTTGGGTGAATGATCCTTTACAGTAAGGTCTTTACAGATACATGAAGGTTCTTTAAGGCACCAGAATATAGTTGGATAAAAAGAACCAGAGAACTTTAAAAGTTTCTCCTGTGACATTAATTTTCTAAACCATCTTTGATATAGATGTAGATGTGTAATAGATGCAAACCAACCTGTACACTGCTGCATTATGGGTTTTGTAGTTGTGATTATTACATGAAAATGGAAAATGCAGCATGAGTTTGTTTCACTTTCCATGCAGCAGAAGATACAGGAACAACGACCCAAAATACACAAACGCTGGTGTAAATCAGCTGACTGGACATAACTGACTTACTGTTTCTCTTACTATTACTAAATTACTGTTTACTGGACACAGTATGCAACTGTTAAAGTGTAGCATATACTGTGAACTAGCTACTATTGTTTTGAATAACATGTGAAAGCACATTTTAATGATGAACATTTCATAATTCACTGTGGCATCCATTAATCATCATCAGCTGTAAGTCAATTAAAAATTTTAATCTAATTAATTTTATGATGTGTCGATTAATTAATATAATAATCACAATTTACATTTGGCTGTGAAAATCAGACCAATATCAATCTTCCCCCAAAAGATTATTTAAACTTTTCTTTTTTTTTTTTGGTTAAATGAGAAAGTATTAAGTAGACATTACAAATAGTAGCTTTAGAAAGAAATTTGATTTGATTTAATATAAAAATTATTACACATAAACATTTAGGCTACAACAGCCTAACATAAACTATGGAACATAAAAGAAGATAATTTGAGAAACATCTTAATGCAAACATCTCCTAGATACGGCTAGGAACTATACTCTCATTCCGGCGTAATAATCAAGGAACGTTGCAGCCGTACTATGGGTGCAGAAGGCGCAATGATATTACACAGCGCCTGAAAATAGGCTAACTTCCGTCAACATAACCAACGTGACCACCTGCTTGCACAGGAAGCGTGCTGGGGACTATTTTCAGGCATTTACGCCGGAATGAGAGTATAGTTCCTAGCCATTTCGGCCTAGAAAATCACAACTTTTAATTTTCCGTCGGTCTTAGTACACGATGTAACTACAGAAGAGTCGAGTTTTAAATAGGAAAAATATAGAAACTCTTTGGTCATTTTTGAGCGAGATGCTAACGGTCTAATCAGATTCAATGATCTATGCTAAGCTACAGCTAAAAGTGCTACCGCCAGACCCGGAGATCGGCTGAATGTATTCGAAAACGGTAAAACTAAACTGTTTAACTCTAGGGGAGCTGGAAAATGAGCCTAGTTTCAAAAATAGTGGAGTGTTCCTTTAAGGAAAGAAACGAATGAATCCTCCCAACTAGCAGATATTTACTCTAATAGACAGAAAACTTGTATTAAGCAAAACACTTACACACTCTTGCTGTCTCACAGTCAATTCGCTTAAAGAGTGAAAATTTTAAGGGGGTCTGAATACTTTCCGTACCCACTGTACATATATGTGACCCTGGAGCACAAAAGCAGTCTTAAGTCGCTGGGGTATATTTGTAGCAATAGCCAACGATACACTGTATGGGTCAAAATTATTGATTTTTTTTTATGCCAAAAATCATTAGGATATTAAGTAAAGATCATGATTAGTAATATGCATTGCTAAGAACTTCATTTGGACAACTTTAAAGATGATTTTCTCAATATTTAGATTTTTTTGCACCCTCAGATTCCAGATTTTCAAATAGTTGTATCTCGGCCAAATAGTGTCCTATCCTAACAAACCATACATCAATGGAAATATTATATAATTAAATATAATATATTTATTCAGCTTTCAGATGATGTATAAATCTCAATTTCAAAAAATTGACCCTTATGAATGGTTATGTGGTCCAGGGTCACATATAGTCTCTCTCGCTCTCTCTCTCTCTCTCTCTCTCTATATATATATATATATAGTATACACACACACACACACACACACACACACATATATGTATATATAAAATTTTCAGCCCACTTTTGACAGTCTGATGTGATTTTATGGTTAATTTCACTTCCATTTTTTCATAACACTGGAAATGAAAGGTTGAGCTCATTGCATTTTATGATACTGTATCACACACATTGTGTTCTGTTATAATACTGCGCATTTTGACAAATGTAGTAGATCACCAGGATATTGACTCATGCAGAAAAGCTGCATACTGTGCAGACATAATGCACAGTGCAGAATAAGTATGAGTAGTATGCTAGTGATTGCATGAACTGCGAGCTGTGATTGCTATTTCTGTCTCTCAGGTGGAGGGAGGCTGGAGTTGTGACGGTGGAGACGAAGTGTCATGACCCGACGCGGCTGCTGAACGGCGTGATGCTGGACGACTACAGCAGCTCGGACTGTGTGCTGTCGGTCAGAAACATGAACACCCCTAACCTCCGTCTGTGCGCCTGTACGGGACGAGAGTGCAACGAACGCATGCTGCTGAACAAACCTGATGACCAGATCGCTATATGTGAGTGCATTTGTGGTGTGTGTGTGTGGTTACCTACTATTTGTCATTCCATCAGCACTGAGTAGGTGTGTGTTTGTGGTTTCATACGTGTAGTGTTTGTTTGAGGTCTCCATCAGGTGTGTGTCTGGTTTTCAGTGCATAATATATTTCACATATCATCAGCATTGAGCTAAATCTGAAAAATGGCATATTTGCATTCATATTGTTCATGTTGTGAATGTAAAATTGATTCTTGAAGTGTCTGTAGTAATTGTGTTGGTTTTACATAAAGCAAGACAATCAAGATAAACTGTCTTATCTAGTTATAACAAGTGTCATATAAAGTTGGGTTACAAATGCTCTGAACTGCCTCTAAAGAGAGAACTTTTATTTGATCTATTTTTGGATTATTGATAAAACTCTCATTTGTTAACATTAGATAATGCATTAGCTAACATGAACTTTCTCTATATATATATATATATATATATATATATATATATATATATATATATATTTATATTTAAAATAAAATAAAATACTACGCACATATAAAATACAATAAATAATACAATAAAATATAAAAAATATTACATATTAAAATTAAATTAACTAATATTAAACGATATAACTTTTTCATGTATTCATGTAACATGTATATGTAAATGTTGAAATAAACATTAAAGGGGTCATCGGATGCTACATGCACTTTTACAAGTAGTTTGAACTGAAATGTGTGTTAGCAGTGTGTGTACACAACCACCCTATAATGATAAAAAGGGGCGGGGTCAGAAGAGCTCATTAGCATTTAAAGCGACATGCAATAAAACAGCTTGCTGTAGACAGAGCTGTTTTTGACAGGATAAAAACGGTGTAGTTATACACTAATATTGAGACATTTTAACCAAACTATCCTTTAGGGTCTTTTCATTAAGGCCCTAAAGGATCATATCAACTTGTGGAAAATGGGCATCTGATGACCCCTTTAAAATACCAAAAAAATCAATAAAATGCTGCATACGAGCAGTAATTCCTTTGAAATGACTATAACAGGCAGAATGAATCAATTTAGATATTATATATTTCTCTCTGTGTGTTTTTGCAGTGCCTACATCAGAAACTAAAGGAGGATTCAGACTCGCTCAGCTCTGTAGGTTCTGTGACATTGAATCCACGGCGTGTAACGCCACCGGCGTCTGCGAATCCTTGTGCAACATCTCCTCCATCTGCGAGAATCCCAACGAGGTCTGCGTCAGCGCCTGGTATGAGTCACTTTTCTATGTTATACATCTATGTTTTTGTTTACATACTCAATCTGCAAATCTGAATCTGCATTTGCTCTGCATTCAGTATCAATGCTGTCTAGACATTCGTATTTCCGATATCAATCTCTACATGAACTCTCTGTATTCGTTCAGTATGAATGTCGACCACGACTGCGTTAATCAGGAAATAGCTTTACTGTGATACAGGAAATGCTGTCTGACTTCCAGACATTCCTGCAGGAAATAGTTCAGTTCGGCTCGGAGACAAGCTCTGAGAGTGAAAAAACACAGTCAGAGTGATCGTGACAGAAAGAGTTTAAAGGAGTAGTTCAGCCGAAAGTGAACATTTGGCGAGTTTGTTTCTTCATCAGATTTGGAGAAATGTAGCATTGCATCAGTGTCTCAGCAATGAATGCCCTGCAGTGAATGGGTGCCGTCAGAATGAGAGTCCAAACAGCTGATAAAAACATCACAATAATCCACACCACTCCAGTCCATCAGTTAACATCTGGAGAAGACAAAAGCTGAAACAAATCCAGCATTACGACGTGTTTAACTTCTATTGCTTCTGGCTAGAATCCATAATAATACAAAAAGAAAAGAAAATATGGAGTAGCTCAATTTCCGAACATATGTTACAGAACAATATAATATAGAAGTTTTTAATGTCTTTGAAAGAAGCCTCTTCTGCTCACCAAGGTTGCATTTATTTGATCAAAAATACAGTAAAAATAGTGAAATATTATACAATTTAAAATAGCTGTTTTCTATGTGAATATCTGTTAAACTGTAATGTATTTCTGTGATCAAAGCTGAATTTTCAGCATCATTACTCCAGTCTTCAGTGTCACATGATCTTCAGAAATCACTCTAATATGCTGATTTTCTGCTCAAGAAACATTACTGATTATTATCAATGTTGAAAACAATATTTTTGTGGAAACTGTGATGCATTAAATTTTTTTTCGGATTCGCAGATGAATGGAAAGTTCAAAAGAACAGCATTTAATTGAAATAGAAATCTTTTGTAACTTTATAAATGTTTTTACTGTCAATGTAATGCGTCCTTGTTGAATTAAAATATTAATTTCTTTCAAAAAAATTCCCAAACTTTTAAAGCAGTATATATTTGGTGGATTTTAAAGAGGACACACTTCTGGTATTCTCAGATTGACTGAATAAAAGCCAATCAGCTCACAATGTGCATGTTGTGTTTCAGGAGGAGAAATAAAGGGAACCCCATCATCGAGACGGTGTGTCACAATCCGGCGCGCCCGTTTCACGGTCAGTATCTGACGGACTACAACAACTCCGTCTGTCTGATGAAGCAGGTGAAGGGCATGGAGGAGGATTTCTACATCTGCTCCTGCAGTCAGGAAGAGTGCAACGCTCCACTCTTCTTCCCTGACGGTGAGTGAGATGTGAATGACAGGAGCTAGAGTTTATTTTTGAAAGAAATTGATACTTGTATTCAGCAAGGATGCATTCAACTGATCAAAAGTGACAGTAAAGGCATTTAGAATGTTACAGAAGATTCCTATTTCAAATAAAAGCTGTTCTTTTGAACTTTCTGTTCATCAAAGAATCCTGAAAACTAAAATGTATCAGTTTCCACAAAAATATGAAGCAGCACAACTGTTTTCAACATTGATAATAACCAGAAATGTTTCTTGAGCAGCAAATCAGCATATTAGAATGATTTCTGAAGATCATGTGACACTGAAGACTGGAGGAATGATGCTGAAAATTCAGCGCTGCATCACAGAAATAAATTACATTTTAACAGATATTCACTTAGAAATCAGCTATTTTAAATTGTAAAAATATTTCACAATATTACTGTTTTTACTGTATTTTTGATCAAATAAATGCAGCCTTGATGAGCAGAAGAGACGTCTTTTAAAAACATAAATCGGAATGATTCCAAGCTTTTGAACAGTGATGATGTAACAGTCAGATGATCACTCTAAGTGGGCCGTTCTCGATCAGAATAAGAATATTAAGACTCATATCTCACAGTTTTGACTCTTTCACACTGTGCTGTAGGTCAGTTTAAAAGCACTCTTGGAGTAAACTGTGCAAGCCGTTTTCTGTAATGTCTCCGGGGAGCTGCTGAAGCGTTCAGACGTGTGGTTTCCTGTCTGTGTCTAAAGATCATCACATGCAGAGATCTTGTTTTTATAGCCGCGTGTCATTTCTGTGCATCTGCGTGTGCACGTGTGCGGTTTGTGTTTGGTTGCACATCACTATGTTTACTGTAACGTGTATCATTAGGGAGTTTTTTGCGAGGAAAGGACCACTAACGTTTCTTTCTGCTTCTGACTAGAGTCTAGTTTTAGATTCGTTACGCAGGAAGCTGCATCATGTGATTCTGAAAGGAAACTTTTGCTGCAGAAAATATCGGTCTGTCCACATGTAAAAACTGCTAAATGTTGTGATGTTCAGCCTCTTGGTTCTTGTCTTGTTTTCCAGTATTTAAATGTTTCTGAATCACATTTACATAAGAGGAATTTTTTTTTTCAAAGTGTCAGAAAAAAAAAAAGACTTCTGCATTCTCAAACACATTAATTCACAGACTATGCAGTAAAATGGCATACTATTGAAAACTAAGCAGAATGGTCATTTTTGTTTGTGAAAATCTAGTTTAGTTGCTTCTTGCAACTCAAACTAAATCCTGACGCTGTTTCAAAGGGTCGATGCCACTAATTGTATTAGTTTAGTGATTAGTTAGCACTTTCTCAGAAGTGCTCATAAAGCTTTTATTTTGTTTCCTGTGTGCTTTTACTCCCGGACGTTGTGTCAAGTCAGACAGTCAGATTGGAAATTAATTTTTCAACAGATCTTTACAGCATTGTGTACAATAAAAATGTATGACATTTTAGATGGACAGTACATCTTTAAAAAAACAACCCTCTAACACTAGTTTTCTCTATTCTTTTGTTACATGTACTGCACTAGGCTAACCGCGACTTGTCACAGCACTTACATATTATTGCTCTTGTTGGTTTTGATTGCTTCTATTGTCCTCATTTTATAAGTCGCTTTGGAAAAAAGTGTCTGCTAAATGACTAAGTGTGTGTGTGTATATATACTGTACATACATATATGTATTTAAAGTAATAACAATTTTACAGTTTTTACATATTATTGTTATATATTTCAGTACATATAATTTATCTGTTATATATAATTGAACGGACAGCACATCTGTCCATCACAACTCTGTTTTCATTAATGATGACATAAAAAAAATTGAAAACGAGAGTTTTTGAGAACATTTTTCTCTAAAAGTAAATAAATAAATACATGCATACATAAAAGAAAAAAAGCTCCAAGCAAAAAAGGAATAGTAATTTTATTTAGTTGTTAAATTTTTCATAATTTTATGTGCTTTTGTCATTTTCATTATATTTTTTATATATTACTAATTAGGTTGAATTACTATTTTTTTTTCAGTTATAGTTCCTTATTTATTTTAAGTTGGTAATTTGAGTGCTTTGGCTTAAAGGGTTAGTTCACCCAAAAAATGAAAATTCTGTCATTAATTACTCACCCTCATGTCGTTCCAAACCTATAAGATCTTCGTTCATCTTCGGAACACAAATTAAGATATTTTTGATGGAATCTGAGAGCTTTCTGACCCTCCAAACTGCAATGCTTCTAACACGATCAGAGTCCAGAAACATAGTAAGGACCAGCGCCAGGGTGACGCGGAGGAGATGCATTGTTGAATAAAGTTGTTATTTTTGTTTTCTTTGTGCATGAAAGGTATTCTCGTAGCTTCAAAAAATTACGGTTAAACCCCTGGGGCCAATTGTTCAAAAAGTTTAATCTGGATCAGAATTATCTGGATTTGGAAATCCCATGTTTTGCGATCCAGGTTTTGTGCTGGCTTTTCAAAGCAAAATTGGATTGGATCACCCAAATCTGGATTACTAGTGCTCTACGGAGCCCCATAAATTTTATTACATTTTTGTTCCTGAAATCCACCCTTCTGCTGGGATCAGAATAATCCTTTATTTTTTGGGGGTCAAAAGTATCCCAATGTTGCTAAAACGTTTTGCACAACACAAATTGAGGATTTAATCCAGATCAAGATTGGATTTTGTGATCTAATCCGAATTCAGAATCCTTTTTTTTTTCTTTTGAACAACCCATTTTCAAGATTTGATCCAATCTGATCAGATTTATTTTGAACAACTGGCCCCTGATGTCACATGGATTATTTTAATAACATGGTTACTACGTTTCTGGACCTTGATCGTGTAAGGACCCTTGCTGTCTATGGAGGGTCAGAGAGCTCTCGGAATTCATCAACAAATATCTCAGTTTGTGTTCTGAAGATGAACGGAGGTGAGTTTGGAACGACATGCGGGTGAGTAACTTTATTTCAGGTAACAGACATGTTTGTAATAGTTCTGTTTTGAGTAAACCGGTAGTAATTTTCCTCTGGTGTTCCTGTGCAGTGTCAGCTCCTCCAGAAGGCTTTGAGAGGAATCTCCCGCCGGTGCTGTTGGTCAGTCTGGTTCCTGCGTTGATCGCTGTCGTCGTTCTCCTCTCGGCCTTCTACTGCTATCGCCTGTTTCGCCAGCAGAACCTCAAAGTGCCCAAAACCAAAGGCATCGACAGCGAGACCTGTGCAATCATCATGAGCGACGACGACCGATCCGACAGCAGCTCGGCCAACGCCAACAGCCTCAACCACAACACCGAGCTGCTCCCCATCCAGCTGGATGTTATAGTCGGGAAAGGCCGCTTCGCTGAAGTCTACAGAGCCAAACTCAAGCAGGGAGCGACGGACGAATCCTTCCAGATGGTAGCGGTCAAAATATTTCCCTATGAAGAGTATGCCTCGTGGAAAACCGAGTGGGAGATTTTTTCAGACGCTGAGCTTCGGCACGAAAACGTGCTTCAGTTTCTGACCGCCGAGGACCGGAAGGCAGAGCGACGCTATTGGCTGATAATGGCCTATCACGAGCGAGGGAACCTGCAGGAGTTCCTGACGCAGCACGTGATTGGCTGGGACGAGCTGTGCCGATTGGGTGGATCTCTGGCGAGGGGCGTGGCTCATCTCCATGCCGACCGGACGCCATGCGGACGCGCTAAAGTGGCCATCGTGCACCGCGACCTGAAGAGCGTGAATGTGCTGGTAAAGTCGGACCTCAGCTGCTGCCTGTGTGACTTCGGTCTCAGTCTGAGACTCCATAACTCCATGTCTCCTGAAGAACTGGCCAACAGCGGACAGGTGAGAGTGTGCCGTCACTACTGACCCAAACCCTGCCTCATTTTCAGGAAAATTCCATATGTCAGTTATTAATATATTATATTATTTATTATATCTATTATATTAATAATTAATTATTTTAATTATAGGCCAATACTATAAACTAAATAGTTGTGTGTGTGTGTGTGTGTGTATATATATGTATGTGTGTGTATGTATATAATTTCTATATTAAAATAATCTATTTTTAATTAGTATATAGTATTAGTATTTCATTAAAATAATTAATTATGAATAAAGCATGTATTAATTAATCATATGTAATAAATAATATATTCATTTAATAAATACATTCAATTAGATATATAAGGTTATGTAAAGGTTATTTTTATAAATTGTTTTTATGCAATATATTTAGGAAAAAACATTCTTAAATGCATTTATTTATTTATTTAATACTACTATTTCATTGCATTTTTCTTTCAAAATGTTCATATTTTAAAAATCAAGCATCTATCTATCTATCTATCTATCTATCTATCTATCTATCTATCTATCTGTCTGTCTGTCTGTCTGTCTGTCTGTCTGTCTGTCTGTCT